GACGGTAAGCTTCTCGGTAGCAGCAAGATTTTTTGACAACTAGCCTTTAGGTTGGCCGATCTGATCGCCAAGATGCCAGCACAAGGAAGAGCGAGATAATGAACCACATCATCCTGAAGTTTTCTGCAGACATGCATGTTCAGCAACCAAGAATAGCTTGAAACTCACTACAAGACTGGAATGTGTGCAAGCTATGCAAGCAATACGAGGAGCGGCAGTCGTCTACTTTCCAAAGGTCCTCTGCATGCGCGTCACATCGTGCAGAAGACCCGCGAAGAAGTTAGCCAAGATCACAAAGGCTAGCGCCACCATCCTCCTCGAGCCACCAGGATTACAGAATCCAACAAGGAAAAAAGCGCCACATGACAGGAGCTACCAGTGCAGCCATCGTGCATGCATACTGGCACGAGGCTCATATCGCAGCCAATTTCGGGCATATCAAAGCCATACCTTGGACCAGGCCCTCCAGCGCTAGACCATGCTACAAGCTTAGGGACAGAAAAACATAGAAAAACGATCCACACATGCGTCTCTTCTACAAAACAGACAACGTGCCTGGTGCAAAGAAGCAGCATGATACATTCTCCGCTCAGCCTCTTGGCGTTCGTCTGCCACAGGGTTGGGCCCACAAGGAACACGGCCTCCGAAGCCGTAAAGCTCTGTCCCACTGCTTGCATGCTACGAGCACATGCCAGAACGCTCGGAATGAGTCCAGGCAACTGAAGCTTTCCTCCAAATGCCTGAGACACCTAATAGGCTTTGGGCCAGGGGACGGCCATCATAGCCACCAAAGCGACCTGCATCAAAGCCTTGGGAAAATCACCGGTATTGATTCCCTACAAACTCGTGAAGCCCATTTGAAATTACAGGCTGCATGCAGCATCGTGCAGCCAGGCAGCTAGCCGCGTGAGCAGAAGGTCATCTGCCAAGGGAGCGAGGCAGACAAAGCCGATCTGGAAAAGATAGAGAAGGGCTCCGAAGATGGCCTGCACAGCAAGGCTGACTATGGCATATGGACTTCAGTGGCGGCTGGATTCCAATCTGGAAACGACCTGCAAATCATTCAATGTTGGCAACGCCTGCCTGGTCAAAATATTTTGCTGTTGTTAACTCCTTTGCTTCCTCAAGTATCTCCTGCCGGCTGAACTCGAAGATCACACACGCCTTGTGAAGACTTCAATGCAAAAGTGTCCAGCGTTTAACAAGGGCTCTTGCCGGCTGATACCCGAGATGCTGCTTAGATTGACGAGGCACAGAGCAAACCAACCCCAAGAGGAGCAGGGAGCCCGAAACACGGCAGCGAGTCTTGCCCAGGACACGCCGACCTGTGAAAGCTGCTGTTGTAACTCAAGACTCTGCATGAATCCACGCCACTGCCTGCGACAAGCCAAGGCGTGCTGAGGCTTGTGTTGGGGCTTAGCTGAGGCCTCTACCGTTCGCAAGGTTATGTCTCATTAACGCAAGTTTCGTTGCACTTCGCGTCATCACAGTCCTTGTCGACGACACTGCAAGTTCCTTGAGCAGGGAAGATCTTGGAAGGCATGTCTAAGAGATACTGGTGCATGCTACTGCATGCTGCTCATTGGAACGAGTTTTGCACTGTCAAGGCACGGAGCTGCTGGAGTCTGACACTTCGCTATCCGAGATCTCAGACGTGGATGCATCATCAATGCTCTGGCTACCCGACTCGTCCGATGATGAAACAGTCCTGAGCAATGTCGGCCGCCAAGATGTGTTGTGCCGTTTAGCTAGGAGCTAAGCGAATCCCACGCCCTGACTTATGCGCGCTTGCACACCAACAGCAGCTGCAATAAGAAGTTCAGAATGACCGAAGCTACAGGATCAAAGCAACTGAGTGGAAGTCCCGCACTTGCCACTGACCTGGGAGAAGGCCATCGGGCCACCAGTTGCAAGGAAGCCTCCGGCAGATTCCAAGCAATTGCTAATGTAGAGAGAGAAGGACAAACTCAGATCCAGGCCAAGCAAAGGAATCGAGGGCATGGCCCCTCTTTGACGACCCCCAAGCCCCCCCCAAACAAGGGAAGTGTTTTAAATAGTGATGGCATGTGTGCTACTACTTGCCGCAGTCGCTAATTTCGGTGACATCACAGTGATGCAGGTGCAGCATGACCCTCTGGAGCTACCTTGAGGCTCTGTGAGGCTGCTGCAAATTGCAAGCACAAGATGTGAAGCGATTGGCTAGGCAATGACCATGAGACAGCTCGAATCCAGGCCAAGCCACCCAAAAACTGCATGACCTGCTCACAACCCGCGCCCCCATAGACATGGCATATTGCAAACCAGAGTCAACGGTCGGCTAGCTATGACTGAGTCCCTTGGAAGTTTTGACTTATCCTATTTTCAGAACTGCAGCCACTGTTCTGGAACGACTTTGGCAATGTTGGGGTCGGCTTGGAGACCACAAGACTTTGATGTACCGACTTGGGTTTGAAATGTCGAAGACTCAAATCACTGTTTGAACTGCTAATGAAAACTGAGGTTCCCAAGAGCTATGGTATCTGGTACCCAAAACCTGGTAAGCCTTCCTGTGTTCAGCCCGTTCCTTTGCGGAGAACGTTCCTTCACGGGTATGGTATGACAACTCTTTCCATGCCAACAATGCAAGTCAGCAAGTGGGCAAATATCCTTAGCCCCCAGCAGTTTCTTACATTTTTCTGAAACTGCCCCTGAAGCATTGCGCAAGGCAGTCGCACCGTCATACGGTAGGAGGCAGGGACGGAGTCCTGTAGCAGGCGTTGCGGCGGATTCATCGCTTTGCACGCACTGCATCGACACATTTTGAAGCCGGCAATGGAAGACAAGTCCATTCTGTAACCCACTTAGAGTTAAGAGGTAAGCCACCATTGAAGCTGAGGTTGCCTGAAGTCACTAGCATGGCTATCTGCAATGCTGTCTCCTGCGGCCGCAGCGTCAAAGCCTCAGCTTGGCTCGGTCTGGCCATGGATAACGGCGCCTCGCGGATGCGATGAGCCGCTCCAGAATCTCATCCGGACAAAGCTTGCAGCTTGCGCAAGCATTGCGCAAGCTGCAGGAACAATGAGGGCCAAGCAGATGGCACAGCAGGCGTGGTGGCCTGCATGAGTACTGACTTGGTGCGGTTGGTCCTTCAGTTCGCATTGATGAAGCCCCAAAATCTTAGGCCGGCACAAGAGCAACCCAAGCTGGCGTCACAGAGGCGAGCGGGGGATCCTATTCCGTCCCAACAGTTGACGGGAAGCTTCATGAGAAAAGTACACTTTCGGAAGCTTTCAGAGTTGGAAGAGTTTGCTTAAGCCCTGGCATTGCTGCCTCCCCTCGCGTGCGCTGCACCGACAAAGCAGTGCTGCGACTGCAGGCTCCTGGGTGCCGCCTGGTGAGACAACTGCTGCGCTTTGGGAAAGCAAGGGCAAAGCGAGGCACAGACCAGTCGTCCATCAGAGCGACTGCCTGCCACATCTGGCAATCTTAAAAGCACTTTCAAAGCGCTCTGCAAATGCCCGCTCCGCTAGTTTTGAACAATCTTCCGCAAAAAGATCGGCCTCCGCGGTGTAGAAAGCTGGGGTGCAGGTTGCAACTCCTACCCGAGATGAGCCGGATTGGTTGTCGAAGGACTTGCATCACGAGCTGCAGCTCCAGCACCGCTCACGAGTCCTGCAGCTGCCACCACCGGGGCTGGGCCTCAGCACGCTTGCAGCTTGGATGTACAAATATCTTGAAACAGTCACTGCTGTTTGGCTTCTGTCGGTCTATCGATCATAAAGTACCTGAGATCTAGGGAAGGGACTGGTTACTCGCGGGGTCGGCGGAGATGTGGCTGCAGCGGCGGCCTTGGAGCAAAGAAGCCGGGAAGTTAGAGATGAACATTTCAGGAAATGTGAGGCCTACGCCTGACAAGGAAACACATTTTGCAAGACGTCGCTGTCCGCCTTCTTTCAGTCTCACCCAACGTTGACATGTCCTTCCGCACCCAAAGTGGTCTAGCATCACGGGTGCGCCACAGGCTTGATCAGGCTGAGGGCTCGGATGTAGGGCATGCTGGTGGCTTCAGGGACACGCTGAGGCGGGCACGCTAGTGACAACCTGCCTCATCTGCACTAAGGGTGTTGCCTGGGATCACTCAAGACAGATACTGATGTTATTGGATAACCAAGTCCTGACACTCGCCACAAGACAAGGGACGGGATTCGAAGGTGTAGGGCTCATCGTGCGGAACAGTGAAGTGCTGTGAGCACCTTCTCAGAATGTGCAGATGAAAGACTTTAAACAATTTGTTGACTTACCCCATTACCAGAGTTCACACGTGCATCAATTGCAAAGCTCTGCCTCTTGTCCCAGACCGCGGCGTCTGCGGTGCCGTGCGCATCAGCCTTGCCGAGGCCGAAGCTGTGCCTGGGAATCCGAGGCCACAGTGTGGACATGTGTCACAAGACCGGCAGGAATTGGCCTGGAGGCGATGTGGCCCGCCGAACCCGCGAAGCGGCCTCGTCAGCTAAGACTTTTTTGCAGAAATGTCCTCGTTTGCAGATGTTTTACGGCCAGCGCAAGGACTAGTCAGTATGAAGCAAGAAAATGCATCGTCCTGGTAAAGGCGTGCATGAAAACTGGCTGATGACCGCACTCTGCGCGGGTTCTGATAAAAGAAATTGATCAGATTGCACAGGAGAACCTGTCACAATCCAACTCCATGGTCCGTGCGTGGACTACAGAGTGCACATGGACCAACGCATGCAGAGATCTTCGGGAAATTGCAATTCAAAGGTACTACAGATTTAGGAATGCAAAAGACAGCATTAATTGCGCCAGATTTGGCGAGATAAACTTTGCCATGCATTTTGTCCATGTTGACATCCAAGCTCAACAGATGCCCATGTTGGCTTGCGTATCAGGATCTGGCTCGTGGCGGCACATGTCAGATTGGACTGTCTTTGGCTGTGACCCAGCAACGTTTTAGCGCCCCGAAGTGAAGCTCCTCGCAAGCTTGCTCACCCCGCGAACTTGATTCAGGCCTTTTTCCTGGGATTGTGCCAGGTAAACGCAGCCACTATCCAACTGTTCAACCAACCTGCGCGTGTCCGCCTCTTGCTGAGAAGCATCTTTGCTCGAATCACGAACACAGGGTCTTGAAATCCCAGGCGGCAAAGAGGACCCGACAAGTCCTGAGTTTCCAGAACTTTTCCGCATTGAGGAATCTTGTGCAGTCTTACCGACCGGCTTCAGCCGAGGAGCCAATGCCTCGGGAGGCTCAAAAGCACCTGCATAATGCCTCAGGTGCAAATGCAACTTCTACCTACAGAAAAACATAAGTACTGTCAAGGTCTGCCAGGGTGCATGTAGCTGCCATAAATGAGCACCTTGCCAACTACAGCACCAAGTACTTGGCAGACTGTTTGATCAAAAGAAATGCGGCCACTGCTATTGCTTGCGCTACGACGAGTTGCGCTAGCTTCTCAGTCCATGGGTCATCTGAGATCCCTGCATGCTCTAAGTCACCGGTCTGGAGCCATATGTTCACTGCCTATACTTGTCACAGGCACAGCTGGACCAGTGCTTTTGGCTTGGTTGGCAGCAATACATGGTACGGCCCGCAGGTTGTGAAGAAATCCCCCAATTTCAACACCTTACAAGAAAACAATCAGCTAAGATCAGTCTAGCCTGAACCCGTCTGCAGGTTTGCCCCATTCACATTGTCTTTTTACCATCGCTCGACTTCCAAGCCTGTGTCATTCCTAGCACCGGCCTTGGTGGGAAAGCAGCGATTGCTGGTCGACAGGATGACCATGCCGCCTGGCTTCAAGACGCGGCCCACTTCCTTCATGACCTGCACAACTTGTATGACGCCAATGCTCATGATCAGATCAGCTGTTGTATAATCGCCTCCAACGGCTTGTTCAAGTAGTCAAACGACACCGTACAGGTGACAATATCGAATGACCTGACGCTGCAACAAACTTTGGTACACTGAGACCGCTGTTGCACCTTGCTCTGAGCGCGGCTCGAGTCATCATAAGCTAGACTAGGATTCTCATTCAGGTCCCGGACCTTGGTGCAACATGCGGAACAGGGTAAACCAAGCTACTGCGAGGACGTTTGGCTATGCAACCGTTTGCCATCTGGCTGCGCTATAGTCGTCCGCCTGCTTGTTTTGCGCAAGCTCGTATTCCTTGATTGGCCGAACTAGCGCCAGTAGCACGCCAGTTTAGATGTAAATGCAGTTGTGCAGTTGTGAATTCAGACTGAGCAGCATTCATTCCAGTGATGGAGACCTGCACAATTTCCAAGCAATGTCAGCATGTATGATGTGCTTCCGGGGACAGTTCGTCAAGATGACTTCTATCCCAGTCAGGGACTGACGAGCGACGTGTGACCACGTCTTCTCTGTAGGATAATGACTGATCCAACTGGAGCAGATATCCTGACGCACCCGAAGTGCACAAAGAAGGCGGCGAAAGCCAATACCAAGACTGCAAACTACAATGCTACGCTGAAGAGGCATTGTTGCATCTCTTGCATGCAGCCGGAAATCAAGAATTCGCGCCTTGCTGAACACACGAGCAGACAGGCAAACCGAAGAGCACGCATTTAGACAGGGTACAAGACGTCCTTTTTAGATGCAGCCAGGGCACGTTAGGATACAAAGGAAAAACATCTGCATAATGTTTTGTCAATGTTGCAATGAAGTTGTCCTCAGCAAGTGCAGGAACGCAACAATGCAGCGGCCGAAAGGTGATGCCGAAGATAGCAGAGAAAGTGCCACGATGAGAATGATTATGATCAATGACGACAAGGTTAGTGGCAACAACGATGATGAAGAGGAGCACGGCGACTTCCAAGACTGAGACAACAACGCAAGCAATGACAGCAGCGACGATGATCATGATTGCTGCGTGCATCTATCATGGAACCCCGCGAAGCAGTGACCCAACTCATCATTCAGAAACGCGTCATCCGTATGCGTGCAGATCCTGGGCTGCGAGTAGAACCCATTGTCGGACGACTCATCTTGGCGGGCAAAGTCTGCCTGATTCTCCCACAGCATCCCACAGCGATACGATTCGGGGTTTTGGAGCTCAGTAAAGCTACCAAACAGTTTAGGCCTCGCTGTAGGGCCACTCAGCAGGCCACTGAACCTGAGCATGAAATGCTCATCAATTCCAATCTATGTCTGCCAGTCTACTTGCAGCTTGAGATTTTTCAGGCTGCTATGAGCCTTCTGGAGCAGCTCGGAAGCATCTCCAGACACGACGAAAGACCCCGGCCAGCCGCCCTGGCCAGCGCCGATGTCAAAATTCAACAGCGGCCAAAGGTGACGCAAGAGGAGCTGTCCTTGGCCCTTTTGGCAGTTTTTGCGGACCCTGGCCTGCAAGAACAGGCGGAGAGCAACAATATCAAGGTGAAATGTTGCGCCAGCAGGTGTAACTCAAAGGACCCCAAGTCTCCTCTTTGAGCCTCTTCGAGCACTTGTCCATACGCCAGCACCCATCACAGATACTGCACACAGGCCTGCAGGGTGGACTTGGTTCAAAATGTGTTTTTTGCATTCTCTGCTTGTCCGTGCAAGTGCCTTCGCGCAAGCGGCTCGGAGCCCTGGCAAGGCGGGGCACCGGCACTTGGGGCACCTGCGGCGGTCGCCTGATCGGATAGAGCAGACGGATACCCTGAAATGTCTTGCCACCAAAACAAACTAGCTGTGCGCTCTACCGCAGTCTAAGCTTCGCGCACGCCGGGGCCACTTGGCAGCAAGGCCATGGTGCGTTGAGATCAAACGGCTGCGGCTTCCCCGACTCGGGTTACTTCCAAGCCATCCAGTTTAAGAAGCTTCAAACTGAATAACTTGGTCATGCCAAACCAGATTTATAACTCCGCCCCACAATGTGCCACTGGATAAGTTGTGGCCAAGCTGAGGCGACGGCATTGATGTCTAGTAGCTGTGACCTACCCAGTGGCAAGGCAAGGTTTTTTAACATACCAGACTGTTGCGGGCTGTCTCAGTACTCTGTTTGGAGAATAGACTTACAATCCAGCACAACCGGGAGGCCTGAGCTGCCGCAGTGTCACAGCTAGCTCCTGCTTCCTGGTCACAAGAGCACGGCTCAACATGCCCTTCACGTATCTGTGCTTGCTCTTTGACAAGACAAAGTGCTGCCCTGCAATGAGATTACGAGCAATCTCAAAGTGCAAGCCGTCCTCCAGTCGTTGGACCGCTCCGCTTCTGCTAGCCTGTGTACGCAAAGGCGCATGCAGGATCAGCGTATTATGTTGCAGGGCCTGCCACTCTTCAGCTCCATGACACTTGCATCAAGAAGCTGGACTAGCACATCAGACAAGGCACGACTGCTCGCAAGCTCGCATAAGCTCGTTCTCCGCAGGCGCAGGTGCAGCCGCCGATGCTGGCGACGGCGCGGCCGCCGGTGCAGGTGGGGCAGGTGTAGCTGCAGGCGCTGCTGGTGCCGGCACACCAAGCACTGGACACCTCGGCTTTCCCTTTCTCACCCTCCGACCCTGAACCTGGAGACTGCGTAGTGCGAGGTAGAAGGCGAAGGCTTGAGCTGGAAATGCTGACGTAAATACAAGGATACGACCACAACTGCATCCAGCGCACGTTGCCAGCTCAGGCGGAGTGGTCGCAATCAAACGTGGAACCTGCAGATTGTTCCGAAAAGGCTTGAAACTCCGAAACTCAAGTCGCAGCACTTACTTGGCATGAGGCCACTTGAGGTGCTGCCGTGGATCGTGAGCTATCCTTCGTCGAGCTACACCGCGATGACTTTCAAAAAGACAGCCATGCTTCACCCGAACATCATGCCCTGCGTTCAGCATCTAGGCTAAGCCCACCATGCTTCAGGGCCCCACAGTCAAGCCAGGCTAAGCCCACCATGCTTCAGGCCCCCACAGTCAAGCCATACACCACGGAAGGTCGTGGCAGACCCCTGCAGCCTTATCAACAAGTCTTTTCCAAAGTACAAGACAGGTGTCGGCTTTCGCACGAACCATGATTTGAGCTAGCAACTAGGCAAGGCCGTCGAGGAAGTGGAGGGATGGGCTGGCAAGCAAGGAAAAATGTGCGTGCCCATCTCAATTCCACTTAGTTTGTCCCGTCAAGAACATGTAGAGACGTAGTAAAGTAAAAAAGCAGATTGCCTGAGGCACTGCTCCGCAGCAGCAGCCTGAACTTCAGCAGCAGCTTCTCGTCCAAAGCAAGCGTTACTCTGAATGAGAACTGCTTGTGGGGTCTCCAAGACTCCATCACCCCTCTGGTTTTAGCAAAAGACTTTGGACAGGTGAGATGGAAGGCAGAACGTGAGGTCACCAGTGCGGACAACTCTGTGTGCTCAGAGCGCCTCGGCTGTTGCTGCTGCACCCCGATGTGCCGTGTCCTGAGCAATGCCGCAGGTGTCCAATACGTCTCGCGACAGGTTACAATGCAACTGAAAGTCTGCAGGCGTGGTGTGCTCGGCAAGCTTGGGGGTTCTGGCCTTGCACAGCGCCGGTCATCTGACACACTTGAGCAAGCTGTTCCACAACTCCGACATACTCATGAAGACAAGCAGCTGCGGAGACCAGAAGATGCGGTCCGCGTCGCACAGCGCGTTCTGCACACTGCTCCTAGCAGCAGAGTGAATGTGCTGAATTTTTGCATGTCACCCGTACTGCGAGCTCATGCAAGCACACAACCAGTCAATATGCACTTGGCGTGTCTAGCATCACCACAAATGCAGAGGGAGAACGACGAAATAAACAGCAATTTCGGTATCACCTGAACTTTGACTAATCCTGACAGTGCAACCAGCTTCCAAGGTCCAAGCAGAGTCGGTGAATCCACAGACCGAAGCCTCCTTAGGCTGCAAAAAGCAGCTTGTTCTGAGGCAGGGGAACACGCTGCCTCTCTACAGGACTTGTGCAGATGCACGCGAATGTACTATGGGGAGTTGCTACAACTACGTACTCACTGGTCTGTGGTCACCTTGTTTTGTTTGGTTGCAATGAAACTATGTATCCCCAAAAACGAAGTCGAAGACCCAGTTCCAACGCGTCCCTATTCAGATCCACTATGCCATCTTGCTTGTTGCTGTGACTTTCTGGCTTTGTCGGCCGATCTGATCGTGCCATATCTTGGTTGGCTGTTTGCGAAATTGAAATGATTAGAAGTTGCGGTGCTTGCAAAGACCTTTCGCACACACCGCGCACAGAAGCTGAAGCAAGGGAACCAAGTGCAGGAAACGAAGGATGTATTAGATGGATCGTGCGGTCACAGAGTTGTCATAAGTGTTCCGCGGCTGCAAGGACCCTGAGCACTCGCACGATAGCACTGACCTGGAGGGAGAGCAGGGCGAAGCCACGGGACCTCAAGCAAATTTGTGATTCCATTTGTGGAACGTGCAACGGAATCTGACCTGTTGCTTTAGCTGCACAAGGCGCAGATGCATGCTGTGTTTGCCAACAAAGCTTGCAATTTCCAAGCATTTTCACACCACCGATACTCCAAACACCCTGGGGAAACCTTGCTCCGATCAAGATCGAGGCTCCGACTGCTGGCATTACTATGAACACTAGATTGGCGAGGCCGACTTGAAGCCTTCAATTCCAAATGCTCGAGACATTCTGAAGGTACTCGCACATGTTACAAGAGGCGATCTGGACTATGAGTCAACGAAAGGCATCGTGGGCCTCAGCCGGCTTCTGCGGAGCCTGCAAGCAAATTTTGCAAAGCATACCAAAATCTAGCTAATGACAGTCGGGCATTGCTGAAGCCAACACAGACTGGATTAACAAACCAACCAATTGCAAGATGAATTTCAAAGAACGTCGAGGCCCAAGTACGGCTCTGCACCAAGGCCTCCACCAAACTAAGAGGCAGCGGCGGCACCTGCCTTGAGCAAATTCCAGACAAGCAATCTTCCCGCCAAGAATTGCTGCAATGCTTTCACGAACCAAAGGTCACTACCTAAAAGGACGGAGCATCAGACTGGGAAAATTCATTTCTTGCGAAATCAAAATGCATCAACACCTTTGAGGTTGGCCAGCCCCATGTCATGTACGAATTGCAAGCATGGACTTGCACAAGTGCAAGGTTGTCTTGACCTGAAAGTGACCGTGCCTGGGCTCAGCCGAAGTTGCTCTGCTCATGCGCCCTGACATCAAAGAAGCCCCATGACTATCTTTCGTGAGGGAGCTAAAATAAGACCCACCCGGCTTGGCAAAGAGCTCCAGTCAGTCTACATGGCCATGACTTGGCGGCTGGCCTGGAGAACCGGAGCTGCCATCACCTCCATATATGGTCGGCACTGTGGGGACAAGATAACGTCATTAATTGAAAACCAAATGGAAAATGACGTTGTGTGGAGATATATATATATATACATATATATATATATATGTATACACAAGTTTCCAGCTAATTGTCCTTTTCCTTTTTCATGTCCATTATTGATTAAGTAATATTGGGGTTGTACTCAAGGTGTCACAGAGCTCGTTGGCCATCAGCATTGTTGCACCTGCTTCAGCAATCTCGTTTTCGCCGAAGGCCGGTGGCCCGCCAGTGCCAGCCTGCCGGCCCGCACTGATTTGATGAGGCGAGAAGGTGAGTCTGCAGATTCTGCATGATTTTGTTATTCCCAGCTTTTTCGGGGGAGGGGAGGTCCTTCAATCAGGAACCACTTGCGCAGTTGGCTTGCCTCGGCAAGTGGCCAGAAGCTTTTCCGAGAAGCTGTGGGCGACGCAGCCACGGAACCGCTTCCTGTGCAGAAGCTTGCGAAATTCAGGATTGGGGTGGCTTGGGCGAGGGTACCCTAAACAGAAACGACAAGACATCTCTTTGCTTGCACATACAGACACAGGCCTGGAGAGACGGAAGTTCCTCATCCCTAGGCCCATTTGCAACAATTCTATCGAAAGCCCAATCCTGGTACAAGTAAACAAGGCCAAACCACATCGTCAACTGCCTCAGATTTTTGTGGGACCGCGCTTAACCCTACAAGCTGCACCCACTGAAGACTGTCATCCGTACGATTACTGCTGAGTGTTTCAGAACTGATTTTCTTGCTCTCTTGTTGCGATATGGTCATGAACTTTTTTCGGAATCTTTCGGAAGGAGCGCAGTGGGCCTGTGGCAGACGCCAGCGGCACCTGGCTTCATAAGAGAATTAACTTGCAGTAATTGTCGCATATTGCGGGCGCAAGAAGGTCGTAGATGCCGCAGGCAAGTGGGATTGCAAAATGGGGTCACAGAAGAGTGGATAGCGTTGCTCAAAACGGAAACCCTGATTCCTGCATGAGACTAGAGCTCTAGAGTAGTGTGCGAACAGTCTTCCTGCCTGTGAAGCGCCGGAGCATGGCGACCAGTTGCCTCATCTGCTGCACAAATCAAAGACTGCACTGAGCACGTCAGCCACAGTCAACGATGCACTGCGAGTTTCACTGGTTCATCACCAAAAAAATTCCCCGCTGAGATGACATCCATTAGAACTCTCAGCTTCTATCTTCTGGTCTTGCATCATCTTGCATCTACGCCTTGACCTTTTCCTTTCCAATTCTGCCAGCAGTGCCTGATCCGCTCGCAGCAAAGGATGGCACACCCTGAGCACCACGCGAAAAACAGTAGGCAGGAATGCTTAAGGCCATGCTTCCTGCCTAGCACATGAATGTTCTAAGCAAAGCTCTGAGGCCACCGCTGGAAGCTGCACCGCATCCTGCGCCTCAATTCGACATTTCTTTGGACCAGCGACTCACGCGATCAGCAGGCATCAATTATGCTCCAGTCTTACCGAGCTAGTCTTGGGGCCAGTTGCCCAGCCTCTCTTCTGACCTTTGCCAGCTCAACATGCCCGGACATCTCCAAGGCCTGTCGGGATGAAGATCCCTCGGGCTTGGTTCCCTTAGAAGCAGCGGACTGCTAGCAGCCTGCTTCCAGGAGCAGCGATAGTGCTCCATCATGGCCTGCACTTCAGCTGGTGACAACCGGTGCTAGCCACCGGCAAGTAGACAGCGCTTGCCGTGAAAGCACACACGCCGATCACTGCATCATCTTTTGGCTGGCAGCATCATGGCACAGGAAACAGCTGCGATAAGTCCCTCAGGCACGCCGGTACATCCAATCCTCTTGGTTCGAACTCCTCCAGGCAAGCTGGGGTCTGGGTCATCCTAACCCATACGCCTTGCTTCAAAATGTCCACGCAGGCACCAGAACATGCGCATGTCGGCGAGAGACATGGGAGACCATCATTGCAGGATCTAGTGCTGGTGCATACAGATCCTCGAAGTCATCTTGGCCAATGACCCCTTTGTTCGGCAGAGCCTTGCTGCTGAAGCCTGGTGGCACGTCTGGATCATAGAAGGGCCTCGTGAAAATTCTGCTATGCAAGGCCGTGCCTTGAGCTTGCCAGAACTTCACCTGTCAAGACGACTTTGCTGCGCTTTTGGCTTGATTGCGCAGATCCGGCCTGGTTCTGCATGTGGTATCCTCCAGCGTATAGAACCAGAACCAGTGGCGAGTTCTCCGGCGCCCTGAGGATGGCCTTCAGCAAGACTAGCAGACTAGCACTTTGCCCGCCATGGCGACATAGACGGAGCTAGGTTCAGAGATTCGGGTCACTGCAAATATTCAGAGCGCCTCTGCTGTCTTCAGGACGGCAGCTACATCGACGATGCCTGAATCTGCGCTTTATGGCTTTTGAACAGCAAGCCTACCTCAGACCTGTAGATACACTGTAGATTGTACGCTTGAAACAACCTTGACTGACCGGAACTCAAGCTCTGATGAAGACAGGATTGCTTTGCAAGATGCTGCATATAAAGACATCAATCAGGATCTTTGCCAATACCCGCTCCCGGCGAGTAGAGATGCGCTCATCCGGGTCGAACCTGTAGGGCTCAACTTCTAAACTCAAATACAAAACGCTCTTGACTTAGGATAATTATTCTGTCAGCCAGTCTGTTGCCTGCTCAATTCGGCGAAGGCATCTGCAAAGCTCGGAATCGTGATATCCTTCAGCCTGAGAGCGTGGAAACAACATCGGAGACAAAGCCCCTTCGTCTGGCTTCCTGTCATGGCTTCCTTTGAGTTGTTCGCCCAGGCACCTGTGCCGGTGCTTCTTGCTGTTCGGCCTCTTCTCGCTAGGGGCATAGTCCTCTCACCGTGCAGCAAAGCTGACATCACAAAAACGTTCGGCCACCAGGATTCGTTGCGTGCGCAACCCGTGGTCCAGTTTGCGCAGCTCCGCGGGGTCGCTTGAGTCCACGTCTGCGTAAATATCCGGGAAGACTTCCCGGAGCCAAGCCTGCGCTTGGCTGAGTCGTCAGCATGTGCCAGGGTTGGATTGCACCTCAAAGTAATCACCGTCTTCATCCGCATTCTTCGGGTCGGCGAGCAGCTGCTCCACCTGGACTAGCAACGAAAAATCTAGCGAAAGCTTGCACGGGCGCTAATGGCCTCCATCTTGTAAGCCGCCCGAGCAGCGGAAGTGAAGGCCTCGCCTCCCGCCCGAGCCACGCGGTCAACTAGACCGGAGACCCATGTGCGCGGCGGGCTGGACCTAGCTCTTGAAATCTGGCTGTTGAGCTCTAGTGGCTGCAACTCTAAGGTTACAATCTCTTTGAAACACGGACTTTTCATCCTGGATCCGGGCTTGGATGCCCAAAGACTTGGTTTTAGAAGTGCACTTCCGTGCTTCTTTCATTGCACGCCAATGATTCGCATTGGACGTAGAGGCTACCTAAAGTGGACCAAGGGCAACGACTGCTCTCAGGGACTGCCGATCAACCCGCCAGTTGGCGTTCGGACACACCACTTTGTTCAACCAAAGCCCGACCGCACACACCAGCCCATGCTCCGTAATCCCCTCAAGAGATTTTGTGGCTTGCCCTCTGACGACTTGGCTGCCTGGTGAAGACAAACGTGTGCGATTTCGGAATTGGAGGTACAAGTTGTAGCTGGTACAAGGATCAAGAGCAAGGCGTGGTCGGCGCTCAGCAGCTGAGCCAGCAACCCAGATGCCTTCAAGTAGCAGTCCATGGGGAAAGCCTGAGGGTTTTCAACATTGAAGCTTTGAAACATTCAAAGACCAACTTCTGGATGCCACGCCTTCGCTGGAATATGAGGCCGTTCCCTTGGCCGACGTTGCCACCGTGCGCCACTGGACTCCTTCAATGGGTTCAAAAACACTACTCAGGCCTTTGCAGCACAAGCTCCCCACCTCGTAGACCTGGGATCGACATCGCGCCAGTGGCCTGCGATGACATATGAAATGCCAGAAGTTGAAGAATGGCTAAGCCCGAAAAGCCCTTGCGATGAAATTCCTATTTAGGTGCCATGCCTGGTCTGTTCATCCAGCTCAAGTTCCTGGCAGGCGTCCTGCTCAGGCGATCGCTTGAGTATGCTTGAGTTTGCTTTGCATTAATTGTCCTGCACGGTGCTGAAAAAAAGTTGATCGAAGAAGCTGCGCAACTTGTCCGGGGACTTCACGCACTTCACCAGGAATGGCGCATAGTCAGCCTTTACCTCTACCGGCAGCCGGGAGGTCAAGGACACCAGCATTAAAACGCAAAGGCAATGGCAAGCCGCAAAACCAAAACAAATGATGCCATCAACAGCACTCGCCGAAAGCAGCTTGATTGGAAAACATGCAAAACTCTATCACAACCTGTTGCAACTAACGACCAATATTGCAGCAAGTCATGTAAACTCCCTGGCACCTCCGGATGGTAGTACAGCACGTCTGACGCAGCTCCAAAGAAAGCCTCAAAGGACGGCACCGGCGTCGTTGCAGGGCCTGTACAATTTGGTCTCGACACCTGCTAGCGAAGACTTCAAATGTCCAGCCTGCGTCCAACTCTGTGCCGGGAGGATATGATGCCTGCAACCTGTTCAGCTCCTCCTGCCAGTGTGCTTCAACAGCAGCTCACCGATCTTGGCATTGTTCGACAGACATAAGTTCCACATGCATTAGCCTAATCGGAACACGAATTCTGCAAGACCTTTGCAAAAAACAAGAGTCTCAACATCCGTCCTCTTCCGGATCCTCAACTCGAGGTGTGATGCATAACTTTTGGAAAGACTGCCGGAGGGCCAGGTCTTCATTGCCCTGGAGCAACAGATGCCTTGCTGATGTAGCTGTAGCAGCAGCGAAGCACGCAGCATTAGTAGCAGTATTCGCACAATTGAAGGAACTGCGTTAGTTGCAACTCATGAGTAATAGTCGTAGAAGTGTGAAATACTTTCGTGATATTTACATAGTACTGGCAGTCCCAGCAGCACTTGTTGTACTAGTAGTATGGTACAAGAAGCAGAAGCAGCAGTGGCAGAAGTACATGACAAGAGCAAGAAATCTCACACCCATCTTAGCGAGCTGATCCTTACGCAGCACCGCAGCACATTCCAGCCCACCACTCCAACTCGTCATCAGGTGCAACGAGGCTTCAATACATCTACAATCTGAACATTCAAGCACATGCCAGTCTTGCATCGCCCAACTCGCGCGGATCTGTGTAATGCCTTCAGGGCGGAGCCAGGAGCTGTAGCCGGCTTGGCTTGAATGTGGACAGATGAGCTACATGCTGCAAGAGGCAGTCTCAAGCAGAAGCCCGAACAGGTTCTGAAGACTAACCCAGCAGGTGAGACCAGGTATGTTGTTGCATGGTTGTTGCATCTTTGAGGCCTTGAGAACCAAGGTGCAATCGCTCTCGAGGAAGCGTGGCTTCCAGGCGCCGGCGGAGGTAGTCGATGAAGGCATCGGACCTTGAGCTGGCATTGCTCAAGCCAGGAAGAGCTTCGTCTCAGTCTACACAGATGGTTTCCATGGCTTCTAGCTCGTGTTTTTCATGTTGTGCTAGCTACTCGTTTGATCTCGTATGTAAGCTTGCTGCTGCGCAAGCAAGCTCAACAACCAAATTCGCAGCCCAGCAAAGTTGCATGTTTTCTCACATTACCCGCTCCGTGCAGAAGTGTTCTCAATCAATGGCTTTCCTAGACTCCATTCGGGCCTAAGCCAAGTCATTGAGAAACACATTGACCTGCGCACGAGCAATTCGGATGGGACGAAAAGAAGGCATCTATGAGTTGGAAGCGGCGTCACTCCGTAGACTGCAGTATGTCAGGTGTCCTTGGCGTTGCGCCACGTCAGTGTAATGAAGGCGACCAATTGGCGCGCTTCCTCGTTATGCTTCTTGGCCCTGTCCAGCCAGTCCAACAATCTCCGCATCTTGTTCCGATACTTGTCCGGGATCTTGTCTGCGCGGAAGAGCTTCATCAGAAAGACTTCTGGGCTGTGCTGAGAGTGCATAGCGACCTGCTCGTATTTGAGCAGCCTGCCGACGTTGTTCAAGTAGGGAAGCCGCATGCCGGGGGACCGTGCGAGGAGCTGTTGACCAGCTGCGTGAGCTCTGGTTAATTTGTGCTTCGCGAATTGACTGTGGCTGACGCGGGACACAACAGCCTTCGTGTTGGTGAACGTGTAGTAGTTGGCCAAGTTTCGTGGGTCCGACCTGTCTTGAGGGCCGTGTTAAGTCTGCGAACATGTAGTGGCGGAAGAGCCACCTTGGTGATCTGGTCGCGCCTGTGAGTCTCAGTCACTGCAACAGATCAGTAGTGATGGACCTTCAGCGGGTGCCCGCTGTGCAAGTGCGGTCGTCTCCCAGGAAGCCAGCGTGTGCGTCTAAAGTGCCAAAGTATCAAATGAAAGTGCTGCTCCCATCTGCGCCCTACATGCAAGCGACCGCCAGGAAAGGGAGGGATCTCGAGTCGAACTACGTAGTGGGCGTAGCGCTTGTACCTGCGTGGCTTGTTGTAAGTTTCTGGGGTCCGCCAGCCAGAAGATGGTGGACCCGACTTTGACGACTCCACCGCCGACCCTTGGATCCCTAAGAAAGTGCTTGGGCCTCACGTCTGGCACATCCTCCAGACTTGGAGCAGCGTTGTAGACAGGCTCACAAAATTCCGCTGTGAAAACGCTTTTAGTGAGAGAAGCAGCTGACAGGATTGGGAGCTTGGACTGGACGACACGAGTCCATTCTTAGGCCTGAGGCCTTGCCCGCGTAGCCTTCCTCGAAAGGAAAAACGTCGCCAGCTGCCAGCGCTCGGACAGCGCTGTAGCCCGTCTGCAGGCTGCGCAACAGTGCTTTTCACTTTTTGTCTTCTGGACTGCTTTGTGGTGGTCCCAAGAGCTGCAGAGTGGTGCGCGCCTTGCCATGCACTGGATAAGCACAGAGGCGCTTGGGGAAGTTCCCTGCTTCTTCTAAGATGCCTTCCACAACAGGCCCGGCAGACAGTGCTCCGGGACTCCGGGTGTGCGCCTAGGCGGCCTGAAGGGCCTGCTGGCTGTCTTAGGCAGACTCATGTGCGTGGCTTCCGCGACATGGCTTCGCGAAAGGAGCCCTCTCAAAGCTCGTGAGCCCAGATCCTGATGACATCCTGCAAGCTTCACAGCAGCTTGCACTTCTTGCAATGCAAGCTCAGGGTAAGTGCAAAATGCAGCACCATTGCTTCCAGGGAGCCCCCCATAGTTTGACTCATCACTATCGGAATCCGAATCGAGCTCCAGCTGTCGCAGGCTCTGGTGCCCCAACGGGGCAGGCGGCACCCCCTCCTGACACCGCAAAGCTGGCACACGGTGCAAACCAACCATCGAAAAAGCAGCACGGGGCTAGCAAGAGTCAAGGGCAGGGGTGAAAGGAACCAATGCTGCAAGAACTGAATTGCGATGAACTGTGGATGTACAGGGCCTAGTTTGTCCCACTGATTTGAGGGATGTCCCCCAAAGCAAGGTGGGTTCACCACATATACGAGCTTGAGTGCTTCATCAACTCATGAGCGCCCAATCCGTGGGGCTGGGACCCAAGATCTTGATGTGGAAAGCATCGAAGTCTAAAGATTCTGATAAGTTCTGGGATGTCGACGCCCAACATGGAAATGGTCGTTCACTGCGTGCACTGTGCCTCGATGTGGAGCTCCACCTCATCCGCCGGAACCGGTGCTTCCAGGATCACTTCGATGGGAATGCTGGAGGACCTGGTTCCACAATTTTGTTCATCCACAACCTGGCTTGTGTACCTGGAATCCTGCAACTTATGCAAAACCCAGATGAGTCTCTGGATATGGTCCACCAGCCAGTCATCGAACAATTGCAGGCCTCCAAAACAAAAATGCAGGCTTGTGGCATCAGCATCACAAACAGTGCGTCTGGCATGTTCTAGCAAAAGCGTCATGCACACATGCCAGCAAAGTACACCGGCCAAGAAATCCACAGGCTCACGCTAAAAATGCCATGCTCCACTCCGCTGCCTTCTGCTCGTCTCTGCGCTTTCCGCTTTTCAAGGAGGACATCCATTTCTTCCACGGGCATGTCCTGCACAGTCTTCTTCTACCATCAACTCTATCCTCATTCAAACACTCAACAGGGCCATTCCTGCTCATCCCGGCGGCGACGGAGGAAAAGGCGTGCCTCCTGCTCGCACTTGTACCAAGCATGTAATTGCAGCTTCTGCCCTTCCACCATCAGAAATGTTCAGGCTGTCTCCTCGTCAAGATCCCCCCATTCAAAGGCGACCTCAAGCAATTCCATGACGCTGTGCCTCTGATCCCTTCTTTCCTGCATTTTTGTAGCAGCTAGGGAGGCCACAGCGCTCGGTGGAAGCACATACCGAGGATGTCGCTCAGTGCCATGTGGGAAAATGTAAGCGGAGCCTTTGCCTTTTTTCTTGCTTCCATCGGCCTGGCTGAGGAATCTTCGCAAAGTAAGCTCCGTAGATTCTGCAACCTGGATGACTAGGCTGCGCACTATGAAGACCAGCACGGAGCCATCTTTCTGGATTTTGTCGTGGGGCGTTGCGTCTTCCTCCTCCCCAGAGTCCGCGTCAGAATCGTCATCCTGAAATGTCTGGCGCTTGAAGGAACAGGTGATTCTCACAAAAAGGATCATTTTTTAGGCCTCACTCTCATCTTCAGCTTCCTCCAAGGTCTGTTCTGCCCATTCCTTGGCCTTTTCCAAGGAGACACCTGTCAGCTGCTGCATGCCCCGCGTCTGCTTTGCGTGAGTGTTAAACAGCAGCGTCAGAAAAGAACGGCTGGCATGCTCTCAACATCTCTCAACGAACATCTCCACAACTCTGTCTCGTTTTCACTCCCCCAAGGGCCTACCTTGGACTGCCACGCATTTGCGATGTTGAAGCCAACAGCGTCCGGACCGGAAAGCTGGATCCAATCTTCATACCTTACGGATCACAGCGATCCAAACAGCGGGTATGTTGCAAGGGTCAGGAACCCTGTGCTCGGGCCCAGACGCATCAACAATGCCATCTTTTCGTGTGAGATCGATTGCATCCTTCGCAACTTGGGCGCGCAGAAAAGTACTTCTGGCTCCGAAGTCAGGAATCGCTACACGAACGCTCACACCATCCCTCGCCGGACAAAGACAATGCATGCCCGCTCAGCTCCTCATGGAACTCGCTGCAGCAGATCAGTGCCACTTCACGGCCCAGCAGTCGGCCGCGCAGGGTCTGTCAGTCTCAGGGCACGGCAAGCACAACTCCAAGATGTCCTTCTGAGCACCGATGAGTCTGGCGACGGATCAATCCCACCTGAATCTTGTTCGGACCACAGAGCTTCATCTGCTTTGCCTCTGCAATTTTCAGGCTCGTAAAATTCACACGACTGACGCCACGACACTTGCATGTCTCCGTCAAGGCCCTTTCCAGCCTTTCCCTTCCCGGAGCTTGAAGTGCTTCCGCCTGCAGAGCTTCCGCCACCTCAACGACATCACAGCATGCCATGGTTTGCCATACGCAGTACTCTCAGTGTAGCGTCCCTACCAACTCTTGCCTGGCATCAGGGGCGCGATGAGCTCTGTCCCGAGCCGGGCACGCGAAGGGCAATGCCCCATGCGTGGTGCAATGTCTCTTAGTAACTTCCTAGCTCAATATGATGTCTCCTGCTGGCTGCTAACTTGCTGAAGCCTTGCTATCATTGAGCCCAGGTCGCAGCAGCTCGGCTTTATCAAGCTTCTCTCATCATGTCACTAGTGTGCCGCGCAGCTGCGGGGATCAAGAACATGCCAAGAGTTCAGCAACACCACTCCAGAAAGTAATATCAGGCATACAGGAAGCATACACAGGTTGGTGCCAAGAGAAGTAGCATCGGAAGCCTGAGCCTCGCCAAGCTGTCGCTCCACAATGGCGCGGCCCTCAGGGACACATCTCAGAATCTCTCCAAAGAATCATCAGACCCTTTCTGCACCATTTCGGCCACGCAGCCGAGCGGGCCCTAAGGAGTTCGAGCTCCAAACGCCGAACCTCGTCCTTCAGGGGAGAGGCGCATAGAGTGATCTTATAGAAATACTCATGCCATTGCACCTATGCCAGTCACTAAGGGCTCAGAATTTGCACGGGGCCTGCAGCTCCATAACCACATCCTCTCTTTGAGAAACGGGCAAGGCAGGCTTCGTCCGTACCTGATATTTGGAAAGTCAGGTCAGATGCGAACCGATCGGAATGAAGATCTTGCATGAACTTGAGTTCACGCTCTTTGCACTTTACAGAAACACAACAGATCGGCTGGCGAACTTCTCAAACCAAAGCCCTTCTTCGAAAACGAAGCATCTACCTTGCCTGCTTGACCGACTCACAGAATCTGAGGGTGGCCAAAGAGTCCTGCAATCAGCATGAGTAAGCAACTCTCACTTGTAGCTGTGTCTGATGGACAATCCTGGAGGTTAGATCAACAGATCAAGAATGTTTTAGGTGGTTGGATGGTGTCCATCAAGCAACTCCTTACTCAAAATACCCGCAAAACAAAAGAATCCCTTCTTGAGGCATGCTGGTGAGAAAGTGAATTACATGGCCCCAATCTCCTCAAAGGAAATCTGCGCCGGCGAAATGGTCCCTACCACAGCGGTGTGAGAATTCCTCAGTAAAGTCGACTCATGGCGAGTGGACCAAGGGGTTTCGACTCATTGCCATGATGCTACCTGATGCTACAATGCCACTTAAAGTTATAGAGGTAGAGGTCTCTTAGGACTCTTCTCAGATCTCTGAGGCTCCAACCCAGCCAGAGCATGGCCAAGGACCATTGTCAGCTTCGAGTTCCTGTTCGCATATGTAGCAAGTGGCATTTGTGGCATCCACATCTGTGAGGAGAGGTCGGCATGCAACTGGCATGCAGCGCCAGACTTCGAAGACCACAAGTCTTTATTCTGTGGCAGAATGACTGTACTTTGAATCCGTGAATCCGTGGTCCTTCCCCTTAAAACGGACCTGATCTTCTTACGAGCTGAAAATGCTATAATCTCATTTGCCATGTTGGAACATGAACATAGATGTCACCTAGATACGCAACTCGACCTAGACCATCTCGTTCAACGCTTCGTCCTTATCCAGTTACCCAGCGAGCGCTGGCTTT